TATATATATATATATATATATATACTAATACAAACTCCAAGATTTAAAACAAATGCTTTATTTGAAGTGCTCAACTGATAAAATGAGGAAATATTTATAAGTAGTTGAAAAATAGTTTGTATTTTTTAAGGATGCTTGATAAAACTAGATGTAACGAACGAGAATCAAAAGTATACTCTATTGCTAGAATTCTTAAATTAAGTAGGCAAAATTTAATCTATATTCATATTAAGTGGGGCTAGAAACTTTTAGTAGATCCTAAATAAGGGTAGTATTCACACTAAGTCACATAAAGAGATGAAGGACTATTCGTTGAATTTCTTTTAGCCTTACTCCTAAACGGTATTTTTATCCAGGTTTATCGAATATAGACAATCTAGTCGATTGTAATAACAATTATAAATGTGTTTCATCGATAGTTTCACTAAACCTGTGATATGGAAAAATCTGGCTACTTTTGGAATTCTTGTCTGTTCTTTTGATCTACTGACACTCGCAGCAGAGTGACGTGGTGGTATTATGTCGAAATTATACTCTGCCCCTAGAGGGTTTCAATCCTTTTAATGATACTGATCAGACTTATGCGAGTTCAAAACCGCAGTCTACTTTAGAGGAGAATACCTTTTAACTAATATTTGATAAGACTAGTGATATTTAATAGCACTGTGAGGCCTACTCAAATAATTTAATAATCCTTCAACAGTTCAGGTCACTCCTTAGATCACTTTCTTTTTTTGCTATATGGCTACAACAACAATATAAATCAAGGAATGTTTCCACCCTATTTCGGTTAAGGTGGTATCGGTGGTTGAATAAATTAATTTAACCTACAAATTCGGCTTACTTGCTATTCTGGTGGTAAGTAGTTAATCAAACACCGGATAAATATGAACTTGCTTAACATGTATAAAGAATTGAGCTTTTAATGGCGATGGAGCCCTAAATGATGGAGGTGTAAAGTATTTTATAGCAATTCAGAAATAAAACAGAATACATAAACTACTGAGCCAAGGATATGCTATCTGAATTTAATCATCTACTCAATAAGAATTATTTAGATGAATTGCTTTACTTAGAGTCAAACTGGAGCTCGAGTGTTTCACTTTGCGAGAGTTCTAAAATAACAACCCATCCATGAATCCAGATAGGTTAAAGTCAGAATCAGTCTACACGCTCATTTACAATCTATAATAAAAAAGATCATTGTTTCACTGGGATTAACTTTCTAGATTTGGTGATATTAATGGCGATTATGCATAATTTTTGTTAAAACATCCATTATGCTTGGCAAAAGCACAATAATTTTCATTAATATAGGCCTAGGCTTTTGTCCTGCATTCCGCGCTTTTCCAATATCCTGGCAAATCGAGCAAGATATTCACACGTATAAATAAACTCGTTTTAGAAAAGACTTATAATTTAAGCGAATAACGTTATCTGCTTTTTCTAACACAATATTTAAGAAGGACTAAAATTTCTAGTATTTAGAATTATCATTTTCTCTACAAT